TCATCTTGTGTATTAATGGTCAGCTGTCGTTTGCTATTTTTGGTTCTCTGATCAAAGGATTCCCTTTAGCGTGTCTTGTAAGGTTGGTCTGGTTTTAACAAATTCCCTTAGTTTCTGCTTATCTGGAAATCTCCTAATTTCACTGTCATATTGGAGGGACAGTTTTGCTGGGTATGTAATTCTTGGTTGGAAATTTTTCTCTTTCATTGTTTTATATATACCATCCCATTGCCTTGTTGCTCGCATGGTTTCTGCTGAGAAACTGGTTGCCTTTTGTAGGTGATTTTTTTGTTTTTCCTATGCTGCTTTCAGGATTCTGTCTTTGTCTTTGGTTTTTATGAGTTTGATGATGATATGCCTTGGTGATTTTCTTTTGGGGTCTATCCTGTTTGGAGTTTGTTAGACTTCCTGAATGGATCTATTCTCATCTTTCATCATATCAGGGAAGTTCTCCTCCAACAAATCTTGGACAATTTTCTCAGTGGTTTTATTTGTCTCTTCCTGTTCTGGAATTCCAATGACATGTAGGTTATTCCTTTTGATGGTATCCCACATGAACCTTAGGCTTTCTTCATTTTGTTTTTATTTTTTTTTTCTGATTGATCAAGAAAGTATTTTCCAAAGAAGTATTCAGGTATTTGTCTTCAGTCTCATTAATTCTGTCTTCCATTGCATCAGTTCTACTTCTTTGCCTTTTCAATGTGTTATCTATTTCTGACAATTTAATTTATTTTGTCATTTTGTTGTATTTTCTTCCAGAATTCTTCTAGGGTTTTGTCTGTCTTTTCCTTCATCTATCTCTCAATCCTTTGAAGGTACCTAAATATAATTCTTTTGAATTCCTTATCAGAGAGTTCCAGTGCTACTTTTTCCTCAGGGATGTCTTCTGGGTCTATATCCTGCTCCCTTGTTTCTACCACTTTATCCTGCTTCTTTGTGTGGGCTGTGATGGTCTGTTGCTTCTGAGGCCTCATGAAGTTGTTGTATTTTGATCTCTGCTAACTGTTTGTGAAGAGCAGCCGAGGGTGAGTCAGGTTCTTCTTGGTGGTTGTTTATCATTGGCCCATTCGTGGAGAAGGAAGTGATGGCTCTCACGCAGTAAGTGAAGCTGCAGGAGGTGTGAGTGTAGTTGTGTCGTATGAGGACTGTTGCTGTCTTCCAGTCAGTTGGACAAAAATTAAAATTGAATAACCATCAAAAAAGTAAAAGCAAATGGACAAAA